AGATGTCAGATGTTGATACTGACCTCTTTCTGCTTCTGTTTTCACATTCTGTGTCTCTTCTGCTCCTCAGGCGTGACGGGTCTGGTCCACCTGGACGAGAACGGAGACAGAGAGACGGACTTCGCTCTGTGGGACATGATCGACACCAACACCAGCGCCTTCCAGGTGAACCAACACACATTTACTCAGGGCGCACTCACACTGGGCAATCTGTATACTGCCTGAGCACGCTTCACCCCGAAAGTCCTGTTGTCGTTTGACGAGTGTGAGTACGCCGATCCATGCTCAAGCTCCGTACACTTCCTTGAACCTGGTACGCTTGGAAGAGGCGCCGTCATGTTCCACTTCCTGTTTCTGTGCTTAACTTCACGTCCTAACCTTCCATCTACAGGAAGGGCCTTACTTTATTTTCAAAATAAAAGCACTCAGCAAGTACTCTAAGCTTAAGACAGAACAAACATTCAAAATAAAAGCAGGATTGAAACCAAACAGGAAGTCAAGTATACAGAGCTTAAGTTGGTACAAAAATTCAAAATAAAAGTCTAACAAAAGCTGTTTTGAAATGCAGAATAACGGAATTTAAAACATGCTATTTAAAATGTAATAAACCGCAGTTGAAATCCCTTGAAATTCAGCGACCATTTGTGATTTAAAAATGAATATTTTGACAGCCCTGATGTTGATATAAATGTACAAACTTGTGTCCTTGCTGAATCAAATCTACAGATGTTCTGTTACATCCTGTTTGAGGACATATTGATGAGCTCTTTGCAGAGTTAAGGATGTTATTGGATACCCGTGTGTTAGTGAAGTCCAAACATCGGACATGAGAACACGTTTGGAACAAGTTTGACTGAATGTTTTTCACCTTGTTTTTCAAACAGCGTGTCAGAAAGTTCAAAACGAATCAAAGTGCTTTCTTTTCATCTCGTCTGAATGAGGTGTTAAAGGGTAAAAGAAAACGTTAATTTTCATGAAATGAAGGAACCTGGAAGTGTCATCAGGTTAAAATCGAGAAGTCAGAGAGGTGAAATCATCGCGGGCACTCACCCACCTGTGTTTCAGGTGTTCTCACACTTAATCGGTCTCTCTCTTTTCATCAGCCTCCCTCACGCTGGCTTATAGTTTCTGTCATTCTGAGTCTCAGTGTGGAGGTTACATCGTCTATCTGTAAGACAGTTAATCCTCTGGGATCTCTCTGAAGATATAAAAGTGTTCTTATCTCAAGTGTAATAGAGGTTAAAGTCAAAACCATTAGAGAGTCTTATTTCAGTCGACGTTTAAAGTCCCTTTTACTTCCCATCTGCTAGTTTCTAGTTTCTTTATCACAGATCTTATCGTAGACTCAGTTGGACAAATCTGCTCAATTTTTATCAAACCCTCCAGACCAAACAACCGCTCAGAGGCCGCTTGAAAAGGTGTACTTGATCCCTCGTAATTAAGTGTGAAGGGAAAGCGGAGAATCATCTGCATGGAGTGAAACTCAAAAACCAAACGTCTGACCCCTGTTTCATGTTGTAGTGTTTGTTTTGTTCTTCCAGATAGTTCTGGTGTACAACAGCTCAGAGGAGCAGCTGACGGCCATCCCGGGAACATCTCTGCACTGGCTCGGTGGAGTTTGTCCTCCAGATGTTCCCGTCTGCGGCTTCAAGAACGACAACCCCATCTGCCTCGCAAGTGAGTGTGCAACAACAACGTCTCCTCAGAACTAAAGCAAATACGAAGAATCAGATGATTAAAGAGTTTCTCTCTCTGACAGAGACGATCACCATCCATCAGATGGTCTCCATCATACTCTTCTTCATCTTAACAATGACACTCACCGTCACCATCTTCATCTACAGGTGAGAGCTGCGTCCGTCTGTCTGTCTGTGATGACTTGACTGTAAAAACTCAAAAAGTGTGTTGGTCTGGTGATAGTTGAACAATTTGAATGTATTCACTGTACGGACTGTTTCTGTGCACTGAGGTAACCTGGAAGGTCAATTCATTTATCTATCGATTTATAGAATACATTTCTGGAGTATTTTTGAATTCATACATTTTTCTAGATCAGGCTTCTCATTTGGCCACCTGTTGTCTGTTGAATTGTTGTTATTGGTGACATGGGAATCGACCTATTAGAAGCAAGCCAGGCCTAATTTTTCAGATTTCATTAATTACACCTCTGCTGCATGAAGAATAAAGGAGAGAATTCACAAAGGCGTAAATATATATCACTCTCTCTCTCTCCTCTCTCTCTCTCTCTCTCTCTCTCTCTCTCTCTCTCTCTCTCTCTCTCTCTCTCTCTCTCTCTCTCTCTCTCTCTGCAGGAGGATGAAGCTGGAGAAGGAGCTGGTGGCTCAGCTGTGGAGGATTTCCTGGGACGACATCCAGATGAGCAACGTGGAGAAAGTTCTGCGGAGCGGCAGCAGGATCACACTGTCACTGGTCAGCACACACTCACGCACACACACACACACACACACACACACACACACACACACACACACACACACAC